CCCTTAAGCCGATCTGGCCCTAATGCCCGCCTGAAAAAACCAGCGTGTGCCCTCCGGCCCGGGCCCAGCGGGTGCTGCCGGGTGTTATTTACGCGTTTGCAAGTTTGCAAAGCGCTTCTAGACCCCTGCGAGTATCAGTGGGAGCGTGCGGGGCTTTGTGCGAGTGTTGGGTACGTTTGCCCGGTGCGGTCACTGGGAACGGAGGTGCCGCCCGTGTGCGCAGTTCACGGGGGAGCGCGTCAAGCCCTGCGGGGGTTCCCCTGCCCGGCGTCTCGCCGCCGCTTGAGGACGGGGCACGGCCCCTCTCGCCCGAGAAATTCACTGCTTTTATAATACGCAAGGAGTTGGGATGTTTTTCTTTTTCTGTATCAGTCGGCCTTGGCAAGGCCGGTGGAAATTTTAATTAACAAGGTCTCATCTTCATTTAAGCAGTTTTGGTTCTGTCAGAAGTCACCTGGCAGGGTTTAGGGATGGGGAAGAGTTTAGCAGGTGTGGATTGATTTTATTCCAGTCTCCAGGGAATAGGAGACAACTTCTGCATTAACTGAAATGCATGTGAGCAACAAGTTGCTGAGCATCCTTCAGAATCACGCAACATCTGCCTTCATCTTCTGCAGCACAACCAGTGCAGAGTGGCACAAACTGAAGTCTCGAAAATAGTTTATAATCCCAAATGTATTTGAGATTTTTCCCGTGATTCTCCAAACATCCTGTCATGAAAGTTCAGAATAATATGCATAAATCCTCGGTTATCTTGGCTACCTTGAGTATTTTACTCCAGTTGCTTGTATTTGGGTTATTTTAGTTATGTCCCATCTACATTTTTCCTAACTTTGTAATCTTTGGAAATTTCACTACCTTTTTCTGAACTGTTCCAGGTACTCTTCTGCCTGCCTACCCTGGAATTCCAGGTACAGGCTTCATTTGTATATTTGTCCACCTTTAACGTAGCCAAGCATCACTTTTCTGTATTATCTGGCTAGGTAAATATCCTCATTGTGTTACCCGTAATGCTTCCTTTACTGCAGACACGATGGCATTCTGGTTGTCTGAGATTACATGCATAATGTTTTCCTCTGTTATAAAGACCGTTTTGCAGAATTATACATGCTAACACTGAAAGGAGCTTATTTTCACAGCCTTTATTTTCCCAGTGGTACACATATTATGATTTCCCTCTCCTCATTTTGTTCCATTACATTTTTTCCTTATTATGTCCTTCTGTACTGTCCTACTTTTACTAAGATATAAAGGCGGGATATAAAGAAGATAAATGGCTGGTCCAAGAGCAGACAAAGGCAGTAATATTTGCCTTCATACTCCCAGCAACAACAACAAAAAAGTCAACATAAAAAGTCAAACCTAGGGGATTATCATAGTTATGCTGCCACAACTAATAGAAGAACTTTGCTTTTGATCTTTCCCTCGCCTCACTCGTTCTCTACTGCTATAAATTTTCTTTTCAGTGATACTTGTTATTCACCTGGTGGATCCACCTTTTAACTACTTAGCAGCAGCAGTTCTAGGAATTCAAAGAACTCTGAAACGTCCTCCCTGGATTCCCCTGTGACTTCAGTGTGTTGTTCTTTGACAATGGCCTAGCTGTTGCCAGATATTCTACAGTTTCACCTCCACCATTCACATAGGCTGTACAAGTTACTCCCTCTGTACCACCACGTATTGTCAGTTACAATACACACAGGCAGGTCTCCTTAGACTTTTGCATTGAAAGCACAACTGCTGTTTGACAGTGGAGAAGCAGTGTTCGTGCTGACTCCAAGCAAGGATTCTGCTATTCTTCTATTGTATTGGATATGAGTCCTTTCTGTCAGTAATTCTGACTGTGAGATTTATAGAACGACCACAATTTGTTCAGTTTAAGGGCACCCAGAAGGCCAAGTGACAGAAGTACACTGGCCTTTCCTGGCTTCCAGAAGGACTGCTGTGCACCTGCCTCACATGAAATGCTGACCCTTCCATGAAGGGTAGGGCTGCAGTGCATAGAAAACGCCAGATTATTACGTGATTAAACAGGAATGGAACTCAACCAGGTCTCTGCTGTCAAACCACACTCTACGTATACTTAAATAAATACCACAGCTATATATAGTAAAATAAAGATCAGATCCCAAGGTGGTCACCGGAGTGCTCTGGAAAGAGATTTGCTGGCAGCAGTAGGTAATATGTCCATGGATTAAAACTAGATGTGTGCTTGTGGAGAAGCTCCCTTTCAGATCTTTTCCTTTGTACCTGTGTAGCTCTGCTGGCATACACCAAGAGGAGGCTGAGAGGAGATACCATAAGATATCGTGGCTTTGTAGAGCGGAGCAGAGCGATGTGTGTAGTGCAGTCAGCATTACCAGCTCTTGAGAGCAAAGCTTTTGGCTACTTCATCTCAGTTCAGTGTTGACTTCTGTCCGTAGCCCAAGCTGTCCCGTTAATGTGAGCTCTTGTGGGGTGGACAGCAGTGTGCCAGTAGCAAGGTCTCTCACATGGTTTTTCAGAGCTAGCGAAGAGGTGTAAGTGCACAGCTCTGACTGAAAGACTGGCTGCCAGCTTTGCATGGTCTCTTTTTAGAAGATTGTTTTTTATATCTTTATTTAATCTGACTGATGATGGCTCAGAGCAGGACTGTTCTATGGTAGGTTCAGAATCAATTTTTTAAAACTGTCATTTCCATTAATACCTCCTTGTTGCCTTTCAGACATGGCCATGCCCAGTTCCCTTTTGTGGGCTGTTGACATTTTTGGGAGGGTTTACACTCTGTCTACGGTTGGCCAGTACTGGGACCTCTGTAAGGACACACAGCTGGAATTCAAACGGGTCTCTGCTGTCAAACAGTGCTGCTGGGGACTAGCCTGTGATCACCAAGTATACACCTACGTGTTCTCGGGTGACGTTCCCATTAGATACCAGGAAGAAACATATGAGAACCAGGTATGACGTGTTGTGGGTACCTCCATCACGCTGCCACGTACTTGTCAAAAAGGAGTGATAGCAAATCTGCAGGCCAGCCGTCGCTGCATGTTTTTCTCACAAGAAGATTGTTTGGTTTTGTTTTCATTTCTTTATCTGATGTTTCTGAAGAATATATATGTCCAAATACCAGGTTATTCTTTTCATATTTTAATTCCCAAAGGAAGGTTGTACTTCCCTGCTATTACTAAAAGCAACTCCAGTGTGTGCTACAGCCTGTTTTTCCTGATGTTTTCCTTTCGTTAGTGGCAGATACGCAATCTCCTTAAGAAAATGCCCAGGGTAACTTCCTGGCAACAAAGACACATTGTCAGAAATATGTTATTCTTAAGAAAGTGTTTCAAAGACTCCTCTAATAAAAACCTTAGTCTCCATTAAAGTATGATGCTTCCGGCTTTTTTGCATAGAAGTGTCAAGAATGTCCTACCTGTGTGACATAGTTCAAAAGAATGTCTTTAAATAGAATTTTAAAAGAAATGTATTTTGTTTTGAAATTAACCAAAAGTTATTTGAGAGAAAACGGAACGATTTTTTGGAGCACATTTCTCTGATTTCTCGCAAGCGTGGAGATACATATAACTTGAGACTATCTGCATGGGTAAAAATACAATAAATTAACTTTAAACATTTTTAACATTGATACAACTTTCCAGCCATTTAATAATGTTCCTTTTGTTATGCAAACATCGTCTTTAAAAATACATAACTTTCAGTATTATTTTATTTGTTATTTTAAAACTTTTGCTTTGTTTGTTCTAGGCTGTGAAAAAACTGAAACCAAAGTACTAGAAAGCACAAAAGGAAATATTCCGCAAGAGCTAACAACAACAAAATTAAAGTCAAATATTTTACAGATGTGCAAAGCAATTAGATCACTACTAAAAGTAAACAATATTTTTCATGAAAATTATAGAAGGATTTTGAATGACTCATTTTCCATGTATCCTAAAATGTACGACAGTATTATGTGACAAATTTTGGTAGTATTTCTACAGTAGGTAAGGGTGTAAGGGAAAAAAAGAAAATCAGAGCTGCATTGGCAAACCCCCTAGCAAGTTACTTGTTCTGTAATTGATTAAAGCCAGATTTTGAGAAAAAAACCTTCGTAGTATAACATAAGATAGGGGAAGATTTACTGATACGGTTATTCTGACAGAGTGTCTGTCACAGAAGCTGTGCTATTTTTCTAGTGCAGGCAAGACAGTAATGATCGCTCTTATGGGGAGAGGATTAGAGATCCCAAGACCGTGTATACAGCATTATCCTAATGCTGCAGTGTCATGGAGCCGTACATCACTAAGGAGAAAAGCCCCTTAGCAGTAACGTATATCATCAGATATTCCTGTTTATGTAGCTGCAAGTGACTTGGTTGGGACTAGCTCTGCAGTGAGCCCTTCTTTGATACTTAAAAAAGCTTCCTTAAAGACTATATTAGGCAGGTGCTCGTAGTGTGAACACTTTCCCATTCACACCAGGAATTTATTCCTCTTCTACTGCAGAAAGTAAGAAAGGTATCATTTATGACTCCCTGTAGATGTCCAATGAGATGATGTGATCTCAGATATTTTATTTATTATTTCTGGCAGCGCTGGAATCCAGTCGGTGGCTTTTGTGAGAAATTACTGCCCAGTGACCGCTGGCAGTGGAGTGATGTGAGCGGGCTAAAACATCAGCAGCTTGATAGTTTCACACTGCCTTCACCACACTGGGAGTGGGAGTCTGACTGGTATGTGGATGAAAATATTGGAGGGGAACCAACAGAGAAAGGGGTAGGTGAACAGTACCAAAAAGAGATCTATTCTGGGAATCCTTAGTCTGTGAAATAAGAGGCACTTTTATAGAAGTGTAAGAGGTCTGTAAAAATAAAAGGGACTTAACTTCCCACAACTACTTCTTGCTGGGAAATAGCTCAACTATAATACAATACAAGAAACAATCTTGCTTGAAGGCTTTTGAAGTCTATTGGAGCTTCTACAGAAGCTTTTTTCTTTTGATCAGGCCATAAAATGCTGGCAAACTGGATGCCATTGTTATTTATCTTTACTAAGAAGAAAGTAAAATGCTTTACTGTGTCTTGTTTGTTCTGTGTATATCATGCAGAGGAATTTTGGCATGATCCATAAATCATTCATGGAATTAGCTGATCTATTAATCAGGGCTGTTGAGACATGCCCAGTAACTTGTATTTGTAGGAGTGCCTCTTGCACAGAATTGCTCTGAGTTATGATTTCAAGCTTTCTCTTGGTCCTGATCTTCATATAAGAAAACCTCTGTTTGCAGGGCTGGACTTACGCCATAGACTTCCCCAGCACCTACACAAAGGATAAGAAATGGAATTCTTGTGTCAGACGCAGGAGGTGGATCAGATACAGGAGATACAAATCACGGGACGTTTGGGCAAAGGTTCTCTGTATCTTTTAACTATCAAATAAACTGATTTTCTGAAATTATCACTTTAAAGTGCAAGGAAATTCATATTTTATCACTGTTTTGTAAACTGAACCTGGATTCCTTGACTTAAATGAAAGGTTGGGATTTTTAATAGAAACCTCTGTTAATAAGGTGCCAAATCTCATGGTAGTGCAGTTGGAGATAGATGCTCGGCTCCTTTGCAAGTTTCAAAACAACTTTTTGTTTTCCTTTGGTTGTTTGACAAAGCACTCTCTTTCAACGTGGCACCTGTCTAGCGTCATTCACCAGCTGTGTCCTTTACCTGTATGAATCACTATTCTTTAATAATTGTTATTCCATTCTAAGAATACAAAAATAGTAATTTTGTGATATTCCAACTTTCCAACTTAAAGAACATCTGTATGCACTGTTCTATGAGTACAAATTGCCTTTAGTTAGGGGGTAAAACACAGACTGCTTCGTGCTGCTTTGGCAGTGCTTCTCCTCTCTGCATATAGCAGCCTTGAATGAGAAGAATAATCTCGATGCTCAGCCACGTTAGTAAACAATACATAAACTAACCTGCAAGAAATAAGCCACCAGCCAAATGATCTATTTGCAGTGTCTCCTCTTCTCAGTCTTCCTTCTCTCTGCTTCAGATCGTATCACATGATGACTCGGATCGGTTGCCAGACCCTTTCAATGACATCTCCGTTGGAGGATGGGAAATCAGTGATGAGCCTCTTGGCCGTTTATCAGTATGGGCAGTTTCTTTACAAGGAAGGGTATGTTCCCAAAGTTTTCTAATACAAATTACTACTGAAAAGGAGTGAAATGCTTTTAAAGCAAGGCAGGTTTGTTATTGTCTTATATTGGTAAGGAAATAGGCTGTTTGTGCATCTGGCAGAGGATGCAAAAGCTGCTTTGGGACTACATTATGTAACAACTTGTGTAGTAAAGGGAAAGGCTTACTGTCTCGTAGGGTGTTATGGAAGCCTTAAACCTCTATAAACAGACAAATCTTAAAAACTTGGGGTGAGTAATATGTTATATCCTGAAAAATGCCCAGAATGCAGGCTACAGTACTGGTAACAAAGAGAGGGAGCTTTAAAATAGAGATACTTGCAAAGCATTGTGCCATGTGCCTGTGGTGGATTCAGGAATGATTCAGGAAAGAGATTCCAAAATGGTTTTCAAAGAAAATGGTAACCTCCTGACTTGGCAATATTGAATCCAGCTCTGGAATGTTTTCAATTTATCTTCTATTAAAAACTATATGGGGGTTTTTTTTTAGGCCTGCCACAAGGTCTCTCCTCTTTTTCTCAGTGCTGTAAAGACTTGATTCTTGCTTTCCTTCCTTTATCCTTACAGCATGTATCTGACATTCCTTTGTCTCTAGACAATTGCTAACTTGTAGTTTAACAGGGAGGAAGAATGTAATACTTTTAACAGATAGACTGAGATTTCAGTCATGCTTGGCACTGCCTGGAGAGGCAAGCAATCTCGGTTAGTTTAAAATAAAATTCCTAGCACCCATACTTCCCAGTAATAAGTGACAAGCATCCCTCTCTACAGGCTTCCATTGTAAAATGCTTTCATTTCCCAAGTAAAAGTCCCCAAAGAAAAGAATTAGGATTTAGCACTCAGCAGTCATGTTTTAGAGCACTCATATGACTACCACCAGATGCTTTCTTAGGTTTGACTTTCATATTTTGACTGTGACCTATGGAAGAGTGCACAGACAATAGGACCAGACTAGCAAATGGACCTATGCGGAAAAAGGCTGCACAGAGAGTGGAGTTTTTTTACCCAGCTTGTGACAAGCTCTGTTCAGTGAAAGTGAGGTTAAGCTATCACTAGCAGTAACATTTTTGTTAGGTATTTTGTCATTCTTCCTTTATATAATGCACTCTGAAATACACCAAAATGTTTTTTTGAAGTTGAAATATACACAGAACTTGTAGCAATAGGTTACTCTATTCAATCCAGATTTGTTTCCCTGATAAAAGCCAGTGTGTAGAAAAGCTGCCTCCCTTAGTACATAAGGAAATCGCTTCAGCTCCATAAATCAACATAAAAAAATAGCTTTAAAGGTCAGAGTGCACATGCTGCATAAAAAAATCCTGTTGTTAAAGGAGGACTGTTCTTTCCAATTTGTCTTGGTGCTTACCTCAATGGTTTCATTGTTGTAGTGATATTTTTCTAAGTTTTATTTGTTGCATTTCTGTTAAACTTGTCTAGGTATGGTACAGAGAAAACGTCTGCCATCACAATCCAGAAGGTTCCATGTGGTCCTCAATCCCCACTCCTGGTGAAGTTGTACAGATCAGCTGTGGACCGTATGACCTCCTTTGGGCAACTCTTTGGGAAGGGCAAGCTATTGTGAGAGAAGGAATTGATAGGAATAACCCTCAAGGTAAAGTTTGTTGAATTTATCTGGAAACCCCTTTGATTTGTATAGTTTTGAATAAGAAATTAATCTACAGTGCATTTGATGTTTCGTTTCTTGCAGGAATTTCCTGGAGTATTGTGGAGTCTCCAAGCTCTGAAAATGGGATTATGCACGTCTCTGTGGGTGTTGACGTGGTGTGGTGTGTTACAAAGGATAGAAAAGTAAGGTGTCATGCTCCTGTTCTATTTTTTTTTTCTTCCCTTTTCCTATCTGCTTTTCTCAAACAGTCACGTCACTTTCATAGGAAACATTGGTGATTTTGACTTGCTATCCACATGGTTTGTGGAATCCTCGTTCCCCTTTTTATGGGAATGCTCTGTGGTTTGTGATATACATAGTTGCATTTATTTTAAGACAGGTTTTCTGCTTTTCTCTTGAAAACAGTTTTCTAAACCCAAGTCAGACAGATGTGGTAGGTGAGTGCCCATGTTGGTGGGGATGCAATAAGGGACCTACTTCTAAGAGATATCAAGTATGGAAATGGAAGGCATTCCCAGCTGCACAGTCTTGTTTCCATAAGGTCTGAAGGTTACATCAAAAGCAGCATGTGGAATATTTTTGTCTGTGCTCTTCTACACAATCCTGCTTTTCCCTCTTCATAAGCCTTTTAATGTGGTTTTTTTTTTAATTTACTGACATATCTGATGTGTATATGTGTGACTACTTTCTAAATGGGATTTTAATGTAGCATCATAGAGCATCTCAAGTTAGGAGGGACCCTTAAGGATAATGAAGTCCAACTTGAAAGTCTTGAAGAATGTACTAGAATGCTGTTATGCTGGTTGCAATATAATCCCTTCATACTGAATTCAGAAACAGATTAATTCTGTGCATGTGTAGCGGTTTTAAGTAATTGAGTTACTCTAGTTTAATGAGGTGCTACTTGTCAGCTGAGCTATGGTAACAGACTGTGTCCAGCCAGCTCCATCTGCCATATAAAACCCCTAAAATAAATGTAGATAAGCTAGCATGTTTTTCTTCAGATCTGCCACAAAATAGTCAAGTGAGCTGTCTGTTGCACAATTCAACCAACAGCTTCTAAAGTAGTTGCTTGCCACTATGTGCTAAATGCAGATGGAAATTTTACCAGGTACCCAGCCTCCAGACATTTTGGGATTGGTAAAAAGTCTCAGGGAACACAATTTAAAGATCTGTATTGCTGAAAAGACCCCTCTGACAGTTCCTTCCATCAGCTCGGCTTCTAGGGTTTGAACACAAGAACACTATTTAGAAGTCTATTCAAAGTGACCAAAAATAGCCTACAATTGACATGTAGAGAAACTAACTCTCACACAGAAAGTCATAACAGAAAGTCTCCTCGTGGGCTGTTCTGGCTGTAGTTGCTCACAAGGACACATAGTCTGGGTAAAAAGAAGAGTATTATTTTATCTTTACCTGATAAAGAAAACGAACAAAGGAGGTAAGTGACTCCCTAGGCAATGCAGCAATTCAGTACTAGAGATTAAGACTAATCCACTAAAAAAACTAAATTCCAGTTTTATACCTGCTAATGTAGAAGGAACAATTAAAACAATTAAAATTTAAGAGTTTTTGATTGTTGCTGTTGTAGGTGTGGTTTAGAAGAGGAGTGAACTCATATAATCCTTGTGGGACGAGCTGGATTGAAATGGTTGGAGAAATGATGATGGTCACTGTAGGCTTAAATAACCAGGTAAGCGAGCTGTATACCAGTTGTGAAGATATTTACGTTCCCCTTTGTACAGGCAGTATTCACATGTGCCGAGGACTGACAGCAGTGCCAATATGGACAGCTCATCAAGAGGTCCTTGTGCTTGAACTGCAAGGAAGGAACGCGTAGCTGAATTCTTTACCAGAAGATAAGAGTCAGTGTCTACTGTATGGCACATTAAGGTGCACAGTTTTCTCTTAATGGTACAGAATCTTATACTGCATCTGTAGTATCAGCATTAAGGAAGAACACAAAAGGAAAATGCTGCATCCAGCATATTTTATGCAGAATTTTCACCACTGCATCTTTTTTGTATCTGGTATGTACCTGCATTCTGTGCCATTTCCTTCACCAGGCCCTTGCCTTCCCTAGGTGTGGGCAATCGGCTGCGATGACAGAGCAATTTATTTTCGTCAAGGTGTCACACCAAGTGAGCTCAGTGGGAAGACATGGAAGGCAATTGTATCTGGCCGGGAGAGTGACAGATCTCAGACCGGGAGCTCAACAAGTCTGCTCAGGTACTTAGTAAAACACCTGCTCAAGCCTTTGTATGCCAGGAGTTCCAATGCTACGAGGTATTTCTTTACGTTCAAGTGATACAGACAGGGAGGAACCGGGAAGGCATCTCTAATCATTATGTATGCCAAAAAGCCTTTGTATTTTTTGCCATTAAAATTAACAATAGACAACAGTTTTTGCATTCAGAATAGAAACTGAAGCTGCCATTCTGGAATTCACTGCACACTTGCAGTAAAGCATTATTTCTTTTGGGCTAGCCTGTAGTGAGAGAAAGCGTTACCTGTGAAATATTGTGAAGGAATGTCAGCTCTATTTGGACTTATCTTCCTCCTGAGTGCTGCTCTATGTTTCCTTTCCTAGACAGATTAAATCAGTAAGTCCCCACTGACGGCTGATTTTTTGGCTGTGCAAGACCTGAAGTCAGGAGTGCTGCAGAGGCTACTTTTATGAGTCAGAGTGCGCTCTGAGTAGAAGCCCTCTCTAGCTAAGACAAAAATAGTAATAATGAGCTTTTAAAAAACCCTATTAATTATTTCCTACCCACAGAATGTGATGTTGCGTCAGTGTTTTCTTGAGAGTTGTAGGCAGCCAACACCACTGTTTGTTTGAAAAAATGAATGAAATACCTTCCTGTGTTTCAAGATTTACTAGACTGGTCTGCTGCATTTATGTTAAGATTCTTTTCCCTTGGTAGAGTTCAACCTTTGGAAAAGAAGTCTGCTGTTTATCTCCTAAAGTGGAAACTGCAGTTGGTTTTTTTATATCCATGGTCTCAGACCTGTACTAACTTATCATGCTTTGAATGACAGTTAATTATCTATTTGTCTTTCAGTGCTGGCTGTTTCTTTACTGATGATATTCAGAACCAAACGAACGCGATCATTCAGGGTGATGCAGATACTTCCTCTGATACAGAGCTTCCAAGTGTACCCATGAACCTTGCCAACACGCCTCCGGTGGGAGCTACAGCCAACAGCCCTGGTAACGGCACAGGCAGCCAGACAGCAGAACTGCGTGCAAATTTGGCTCTGGACTCTGACCAAGGAGAAGCCACTGTTCCTTCAAATAATAATGAGAAAGCAAATCTTGAAATGCATAGATCAAAATCGCCAAATCCCTCTGCAGAACTGCAGTGGACAAACATTGACTTGAAGGAGGCCCAAAAGCATCCAGTCCTCTCTGTCAGCACCTTTGCAGAAACATCCAGCCTGTCTTCCCTTGGCATGTTCTCGGCGGGAGCTGAAGAACAGTACGGAGCCGATGAGCACCCGCTCTGGGCCTGGGTGTCCGGGGGAGGCTGTCTGGTAGATCTACACAGCCCATTGAAATGGTTCACTGTTCCATCAGGTACTATCCAGTCACCACAACAGACCTGAATTTCCAGTCCTCTTTAAGAAAAATATTGGTTTGTGGGTTTTTTTGAAGAAAACCGTAGTGCAAAACCTCTGACAACCCATTTATTCTTACAGCAGTTTGTTAATACACTCTGTGTCTGAGGGTAGTGCTGCATGTATTTAGCTGTACAGCACTTTGGGACTGAGATACATAAATGTAAAGGTGGTATTTTCTCTGAGTTTCTGTAAAAATTTTGTAAAATAATCTGTGCTGAATATGCATCTCATTTTTAATTGCATGGAAACTGCAACTTCAGGCAAACCCATAGTATCACTGGCTAGTAGCTGAAAGCAGTGGAAAGGGCACTCTTGAGAGATACAGATGCCCCAGATAACTGCCTCGCTCCTACCA